TGTAAACATTGTGTGTATTTAACAGTATCGAAAGATAACTTAGTCCAGTATTCAGGCGCTGTTTGACAGGCTTCTAGTGCCTGTGAGCGTCGGGGGTATGCGGTCAGGAAAGCGCACGTTAGAACAGCGCATCAGCACGTGAATTAAATGTTTAACCGGCAAGGCTTTTGCAAATAATGAACTTTAGTGAATTGCGGTGTCCCGTACCATTAACGTGTGATGTGTAGGCTACGTCGCGTTGTACAGTTGAGAGACGGAGGCGCCAGAACTGAACTGATAGAATGCACTGTTACACGATACTACGATATTTCTTCAAAAGCAGATCATGCAGACATTTTAATCGTCCACGATTAAAAATCGTGCTATCGCACACCCCTACCTGAAACAATGTGTATAAATTACTTTGAAATATTTTTTTCCATTTCAAAATGACTAATTACTAGTACATTTCATAAATAATTAAAAAATAAACAGCTAATTAAACGTGATTTTTTGAAGCAGAAATTCTTAAATAGCCGCTCCTGTTTGCCAGATCTGGGCCACAAGCAGATCATAGCAATGCCACAGGTCAGCAATGAGCAAAGAAATAAACATGAAGAGCTAAAAAATGGTGGATGATTATGATTTGGGGCTGCTAACACACACACTCTTGAAGCTCCGCCCACTGTGTCTGGAGCTGCAGCTCATTTGCATTTAAAGGGCCAGACACAAAACGGTGCGTTTTTGCCAACCCTCAAAAAGTGACAACTTTAACATGCTATATAAAAATATCTGTGGGGTGTTTTGAGCTAAAACTGCACATACACACTCTGGGGACATCTGAGATTAACTTTACATCTTGTGAGAAGGGCATTATACCACCCCTTCAAACATTATACATATATATATATATATATATATATATATATATATATATATATATTATATATATTTACTGTTGGTGGTCCTTTTAGGATGCCATATTACTTATTCTAACTTGTGTTAAGAAAAGAGATAGACTGCAGAGCGATACCCAAATTATAAAAAAATGGTGTTTTAATGGAGTTTTTTTTTTAAATTATCATTTACAAAAAAACTATAAAACAAACAAAATTAGCCTTCTTTAAAACACATTTATTACTTCCATTGAACATTTCTTAAGGAAAGTAATGAGTTAAAGTAGCTTGTTTCTATTGACGTTTGCTGGTTCATCTCACACACACAAACGGCTTCTTTACAGTAGCTACATACGTAAAGAAGCGTATACGTATATTATACTCAATGAAATAATGTTTATTTAAATGTATGTTAATGAACATTCAAAGCACTTACTATATTTTAGCTGAAGGCAGCGCTCATTGTACTGGTTATCGGGCTCGTCAGACGACCAGTATTGTTAGCATGACAGTATTGTTAGCATAGTTAGCATATAGCGGTATCTCTCTATAATGTGATCAGTCATGGCTGGTCCCTCGAGCGTACGATCACACCGGTGTTAGTGGAACGGTCAGTGCATCACGTGATCAATGGCTAAATTCAAATGTGCTTTCGCGCGTTGCTAGCGCTGAGCCCGAGACGGACACACTCAGTGATGTCATATATCACAACTATTCAGTGTTTTCAACTATTTAATGTTCATTCATTCAGAAATGTAAATACACAACAACTATCAAAACAACACATTTAGAATTTGTAAAATGTGGCAATAATAATAATTTCCATTATAGGCTAATTAGACGACATGTTTAATTTAGATCAGATATTGTGTAAGTAACTTTAAACTCTATTCTATAAGTTCACCTGCCACTTACTTTCATATATTTCGGGAGAAGTGGATGAATTCTTGTGTTGTAAATCCAACAGATCCGCTTCTCTGAACAGTGGCACAAACTAACATGGCGGCGCCCATACAGCTCAACTAACGCGATCGTTATAAAGGTGTTTAAACAACAAAACACTCCCACAACTTGCATTTATTTGTTCTGTTTTGGGTCTGTTAAAGCGCTATATAAATGCAGTCCATTTACCATATTTGACAATAGGAAGGTCAGATATTTCATGCCATAGCTAACACATTTCTGAATATTTAAAATAAAAAAGGAAATAAAAGCAGTTCAGCACGAAAAAACATTTAAAAAGCATGTTTTAGCTTATGAATCCTGGAAGGAGGCAAAGAAAGATAGTGAACACGTAAACATCGGGCCATTACAGCAATATAATATTAAAATGTTGGATATTAGGCCTACAAAAATATAAACCAAGCAGCTTTATTTACCTCATATGAATTAGTGTCTGCATTAACTTCTGCTCATTTCCATATTATTAAAATGTCATCCATTATTTTGAGATAAATTTAAAATTATTTAAATCCAATTTATTTAAATAAGCCGATTTAATTAAGCAGACTTCCATTCACACTCTGCACTTGCCTGTGAGCGCCCCCTCATGGACAGAGAAGTACCACACAGTGCCAATTCTCCCCTTATTAGACGTTCTCTGACCTTCACAACCGCCGGACTCGCGCGTCCTCCGTATCTGTAGTTTTTTAACACTTTACTCGTGTTTGTAGTTCTAACCGAATCCTCATCCAGCGTGCGATGGATTGTGGATAATATCAGCCGTTAGCGTCTGCATCGATCTACACTTCGGATTCTGACCGGATACTATATATACTATTTACTATTTATGAATACTATTTACTCTAGTATGCGAATTGGGACGCAGCAAGTGTCAAATTCAAGCTCTCTGGAGTAATGAAAAACTCACGACTCGCACAGCTTAAAAGAGTAGGCTAGTTCACTTTTGAAAAAACTTTTGCTGATAATTTACTCACCCAAATATCATCCAAGATGTCCATGTCTTTCTTTCTTCAGTCGAAAAGAAATGAAGGTTTTTGATGAAAACATTCCAGCATTTTCTCCATATAATGGACTTCAATGGGAACCAAACGGTTCAAGGTCCAAAAGACCTTTTTAAAGTGAACTAGTCCTTTAACACCCATCGCTCGACTCTGCCCCTAATGGTCAGGAGTAGCATCGCACACTTCTCGTTTTTAAAAAGAAATCACATTAAAATAAAACCCTTTTGAATGTTTCTTTTTCCAAAATAACACAATAACATATTCAAAATGAAACAAATCATTTTTAATATACTTAAAAAAACAATTACAAAATTTGTGATGATCACAAGCACATTACACATATACATCAAAATGACATGATAGTTTCAGAGATATTTCTCTTTTGCAGAGAAAAACAAAATGTTTATTTTGCAAAACAAGTGCAATTACAATTTCGATCTCTCATTATTGATGTTAAAAATGACACCATCTTACATTTTATTCATTTAAAAAGTGATTGTCTTACATAATTTTAGCCTCAGAGTGAAATAATACTAATAATACAGATATTATTTATCCTCATTGTAATTGCTGATGCATAAATCCGTCGGAGACTATAATAGAGGAGAACGGCTGATCATGAGCTTCTAGTTTCTGTGTTTGGACTCACTCATGCCTGGAAACTTCATAAGGAATGAATCACAGATGTTTTCTAGCAAGAGGAATGAAGATAACAACATCTCAGAGGAGTTTTGATATCACATGAAGGATCTGAGCGCCGTCTGAAGGATTGAACATTCAGTCTCAGTGTTTCTGATGGAGGAAGAGACACGACTGAACATTTACTGACTTCAGGATCCTGAGACTCAAAGTTAAATATAACACTGATTTCCCTCTCTGCTAATGATCTTAATAGAGTTTAAGATCAAGATTCATCTGTAATGTTGAAGTTTACACCTAGAATTAGTTATAAAGCAAATCACTATTACATGAACACACAGAACAAGTGTTAAACATCCTGCATATATTTACAGCTATTCACAAAACCAAAGAAACGTCCATTAGTAAAAACGGTCTCGATAACGAATGCAGAATGAGATTGAGCTCTTAAATCCAACACAGTCTCATGAAAGTGTGTATCTAAACCACGAATGCCGTTTCTGCTGCCATTTATAGACCAAAAACGTTTTTTTTTTTGCGCACTGAAAACCCCTTGGGTAGGTTTGGGGAGTGTGTGTGTATTAAACGCCATAAAGTGTGTATCATATAGACCCAAAAACTATTTTTGGCGTATAAATGGCACAAGAAATAACATTCATTGTATAGACACACACTTTCTTGAGATCGGGCTGCTTAACCCTCAGGTGCTCTTCGGTCATTTCTGACCGAAAAATGTTCTGTTTTGAATATTTAAAAATCACAGCTTCTTCAGAAAATTACGAAACTTGGTGAATTTTATGACATTATGTATGTGAACACACAAAAAAATTGAGGTCATGATCTGAGCATGCTAAGTGGTCTTAAAAAAATAGTCACACTTGTGGTCTTTGGTCAAAAATGACCCCCTTAGGAAATGAATGGGAAATTGTCAAAAAATTGTGAATATTTGTTTGTCATTTTTTTTAATAAGAAATCGTTTTTGAGATTGTTTCAACTATATATTCAAATCCACCACCAACAACAAAAGAAAATGTGTTGATAAACAGCTGGGGAATTCACATGCCTCTCCATAGAGAGCTGTACATGCCATCTAGTGGTTACACCATGATTCTACACTTTTTCTCTATACTGTAACCAGATGGTGCTAATTTTCTTCAAAAAATATTTTTTTTTCTGAAGGCCTAGACTCTATATTAAACTAAAATACTGCATTAATATATATTTTTTTAATAATATTTATATAGAAATATATATATATTTTTCCATGGCAAATATAAGCCATAAATATTGCATAAATATTAATAAATTCAATTAAATTGTCTCAAAATACTAAATTAAAAAGAATAAATATTATAGAACAAAAATAAATTGCATTGGTTTTACTGGGATGGAGAAGGTTTCATTTTTAGGTGTCCGGTCACTTTTGACCGGGAAGATAACAAGTGTGACTCTGAAACGAAGAGCACCTGAGGGTTAAATCACAGTCAGAAGTTTCTCAGGAGTGTTTCTCTCGGACTGATGATTATGGCTGTGACAACACTTCATTCAGTAGAGGATTCATCTCGTGAGATCCTGCTGGGTTCTGGATCTGGTCCTGGTCCTGGTTCTGGTTCTGGTCTTGGTTCTGGTTCTGGATCTGGTCTTGGTTCTGGTTCTGGTTCTGGATCTGGTTCTGGTTCTGGTGCTCATTCAGTAGAGGCTTCATCTCGTGAGATCCTGCTGGGTTCTGGATCTGGTTCTGGTTTGATCCACTGGCTGTAGTTTCATCAGGATCTGCTGTATTCTGTGTTGAGAATAAGAGAGAATGTTTTAACATGTATTTCAACAGAATCACAGCAGTGTTTCTCAGTCCTCATAGAAAACACAGTTGAAGGAAATGACGTTTCAAACCCAGTTTGTGTCAGAGCAGAGGATCAGGATTGCTGAGATTACAGGTTTACAGACTCAATGATCTGAAATGAAGTCAAGGAAAGCGCTGATGTTCTCCAGGAGGATTGAGGAACACTGATGATCTACAACATCTCTGGAGGAAAGTGGAAAAATCCACAATGATTCTGACGCTAACCTGAGATTCCTGATCCTGAGATCCAGCAGATCGAGATCGACGAGACTTCATTGCCTTCTGTGTTCAAGACAAGACACTTCATTAACACACACATCTAAATGATCTTCACTAATGTATTAATACACACAGATCTACACTAATGTATTAATATACACAGATCTTCACTAATGTTTTTCTGTTTTTACACAGTTATTTAAAGGTACAGTCAGTCATTTAAATGATCAGTTTTATTTGTGTCGGTATAAAGAGTTCAGTCTCACACACACCAGAGAAACATGAATATAAAATGGCCGCACCTTTAACATGAAGCCAAACCACAGGTGAAATAATCAGATATAATTCACATTAAATACGAAACACTAACCAGACATGACTGTAGACACGGTTTGATCCCTGTGAGACGGAGGAGGAAAAGAGATTTACAGGATTATTCAGATTCAACACTTCACACTCTATAATACACGAGTCCTGATTTAACCAAGAAATATCTAATCAAGATAGATTCATCAATCATCACAAACTCAGCATTTATTACTCTCGGACACATATGTTTTATAATGATAATCCCTTAAAGAAATACGAGAGGCAGCGAAACCCCTGCCGTGAATGTGTTACTGTAATTGTCTTTAAGTTGAGTTTATACTCACAGGGTTCAAATATCAGTAGAATAAAGAGAAATAAAGTGAAGAGGATTTCAGAGGAAAACACGACGATCCTCATATCTCCGACGGCTCCTACTCCATTAACTGAGGATGAGAAGAACAGTATAATGTGTGTGTGTTTTACTCAGATATTATTATTATATAAGTGATGTTGAAGTGTTCTCGCCTGTTCTCAGGATCAGTTCAGTCATCAGAGCAACAGCGTTCAGGAAAACTACACCGACTGATCCAAACACATACACAGGAACAACACGGAGAAGATCTGGAACACACAATAATACACTTTCATATCTTCAGATAATAATACAGTTTCATATCTTCAGATAATAATATAGTTTCATATCTTCATACAATAATACAGTTTCATATCTTCAGATAATAATACACTTTCATATCTTCAGATAATAATACAGTTTCATATCTTCAGATAATAATATAGTTTCATATCTTCATACAATAATACAGTTTCATATCTTCAGATAATAATACAGTTTCATATCTTCAGATAATAATATAGTTTCATATCTTTAGATAATAATACAGTTTCATATCTTCAGATAATAATACAGTTTCATATCTTCAGATAATAATACAGTTTCATATCTTCAGATCCTTACCTTACTGGCCAGGTTAACTATCTTGCTCAATCTATTTTTGTTGGTTACTGACAAAGAGTAGTACCATGAAATGCAACAGAAAAGTAGCATGCTCTCATATCTCATATCATATCTTCAGATAATAATACAGTTTCATATAATAATAGTTTCAAAGAAATAATAATAGTTTCATGAATAAACATTATATAGAAATATTCTTCGGGAAGAGAAGAATAAACGAGAGAGATGAAGATGATGAATATTAATACTGACCCCATGTAAATGAGAATGTGAAGTTTATCACTGCCCAGAGTGACTGAAGAAACACGATCACACACACCCATCCGACACGATCTGAACATCAACACACACACATCAGCTTCATCACTAACAGTTCATCAACACACACACACACACACACACACACACACGCACACACACACACACACACACACAAAGTTGCACATACATCAGCATAATACAGCAGGAAGAGGTTTCAGATTTATACATGTACATAATCATATAATCACACATATATAATCACACATATATAATCACACATATATATCACACATATATAATCACACATATATAATCACACATATATAATCACTCATATAATCACACATATATAATCACACACATATATAATCACTCATATAATCACACATATATAATCACACATATATAATCACACATATATAATCATCATATAATCACACATATATAATCACACATATATAATCACATATATATATCACTCATATAATCACACATATATAATCACACATATATAATCACTCATATAATCACACATATATAATCACACATATATAATCACACACACATATATAATCACTCATATATAATCACTCATATAATCACACATATATAATCACACATATATAATCACTCATATAATCACACATATATAATCACACATATATAATCACACACATATATAATCACACACATATATAATCACACATATATAATCACACATATATAATCACTCATATAATCACACATATATAATCACACACATATATAATCACTCATATAATCACACATATATAATCACACATATATAATCACACATATATATATAATCACTCATATAATCACACATATATAATCACACATATATAATCACACATATATAATCACTCATATAATCACACATATATAATCACACATATATAATCACACACATATATATCACTCATATAATCACACATATATAATCACACATATATAATCACACATATATAATCACTCATATAATCACACATATATAATCACACACATATATAATCACTCATATAATCACACATATATAATCACACATATATAATCACACACATATATAATCACACATATATAATCACACATATATAATCACACATATATAATCACACATATATAATCACTCATATAATCACACATATATAATCACACATATATAATCACTCATATAATCACACATATATAATCACACATATATAATCACACATATATAATCACTCATATAATCACACATATATAATCACACACATATATAATCACACATATATAATCACACATATAATCACACATATATAATCACACATATATAATCACTCATATAATCACACATATATAATCACACATATATAATCACACACACATATATAATCACACACACATATATAATCACACACACATATATAATCACACATATAATCACACACACACACATATATAATCACACATATATAATCACTCATATATAATCACACATATATAATCACACATATATAATCACACATATAATCACACACACACATATATAATCACACATATATAATCACTCATATAATCACACATATATAATCACACATATATAATCACTCATATATAATCACACATATAATCACACACACACATATATAATCACACATATATAATCACTCATATATAATCACACATATATAATCACACATATATAATCACACATATAATCACACACACACACACACACATATATAATCACACATATATAATCACTCATATATAATCACACATATATAATCACACATATATAATCACACATATAATCACACACACACATATATAATCACACATATATAATCACTCATATATAATCACACATATATAATCACACATATATAATCACTCATATATAATCACACATATATAATCACTCATATATAATCACACATATAATCACACACACACATATATAATCACTCATATATAATCACACATATATAATCACACATATATAATCACACATATATAATCACACATATATAATCACTCATATATATAATCACACACATATATAATCACACACATATATAATCACACATATATAATCACACATATATAATCACACATATATAATCACTCATATATAATCCCACACATATATAATCACACACATATATAATCACTCATATATAATCACACATATATAATCACACACATATATAATCACACACATATATAATCACACACATATATAATCACACATATATAATCACACACATATATAATCACACATATATAATCACACATATATAATCACTCATATATAATCACACATATATAATCACACACATATATAATCACACATATATAATCACACATATATAATCACACATATATAATCACTCATATATAATTACACATATATATTCACACACATATATGATCACACACATATATAATCACACATATATAATCACACACATATATAATCACACACATATATAATCACACACACATAATCACACACATATAATCACTCATATATAATCACACATATATAATCACTCATATATAATCACACACATATAATCACTCATATATAATCACACACATATATAATCACTCATATATAATCACACATATATAATCACTCATATATAATCACACATATATAATCACACACATATAATCACTCATATATAATCACACACATATAATCACTCATATATAATCACACACATATATAATCACACATATATAATCACACATATATAATCACACACATATATAATCACACATATATAATCACACATATATAATCACACATATATAATCACTCATATATAATCACACATATATAATCACACATATATAATCACACACACACACACACACATATATAATCACACATATATATAATCACACACATATATAATCACACACATATAATCACTCATATATAATCACACACATATAATCACTCATATATAATCACACACATATATAATCACTCATATATAATCACACATATATAATCACACACATATATAATCACACATATATAATCACACATATATAATCACTCATATATAATCACACATATATAATCACACACATATATAATCACACATATATAATCACTCATATATAATTACACATATATATTCACACACATATATGATCACACACATATATAATCACACACATATAATCACTCATATATAATCACACACATATATAATCACACACATATAATCACTCATATATAATCACACACATATAATCACTCATATATAATCACACACATATATAATCACACATATATAATCACACATATATAATCACACACATATATAATCACACATATATAATCACACATATATAATCACTCATATATAATCACACATATATAATCACACATATATAATCACACACACACATATATAATCACACATATATATAATCACACACATATATAATCACACACATATAATCACTCATATATAATCACACACATATAATCACTCATATAATCACACACATATATAATCACTCATATATAATCACACATATATAATCACACACATATATAATCACACATATATAATCACACACACACATATATAATCACACATATATAATCACACATATATAATCACTCATATATAATCACACACAAATATAATCACACATATATAATCACACATATATAATCACACACATATATAATCACACATATATAATCACACATATATAATCACAGATATATAATCACACACTCATATATAATCACAGATATAATCACTCATATATAATCACAGATATAATCACTCATATATAATCACACATATATAATCACTCACATATATAATCACTCATATATAATCACACATATATAATCACACACATATATAATCACACATATATAATCACTCATATATAATCACACATATATAATCACTCATATATAATACACATATAATCACACATATATAATCACACACATATATATAATCACACACATATATATAATCACACACACATATATAATCACACACATATATATAATCACACACACATATATAATCACACACATATAATCCCACATATATAATCACATATATAATCACACACTCATATATAATCACACATATATAATCACACATATATAATCGCATATATAATCACACATATATAATCACTCATATATAATCACACACATATATAATCACACATATATAATCCTACCCTTCTCATTGTCCAGAGCTGTGCTGTAGAAATACACCAGTCCAGCATTGACCACTAACATGAAGATCACATACACTGATCTCCTGACCGCAGGAGAACCTGAAACACACGATTAATAAGAGTTTACAGTTTTTCTGGATTGTTTACACACATTTCCTGCAAGTTTGCCTCATATTCTCAGAACTCTACACACAAATCTAAAAACACACACACAATCGGCAAAACCCCTCAATTCTCCTGCAAAATGAAACTTTACATTCAAAACAATGTTATTTCTTCTCAAAATGGTATTTTGTTTTCAAATGACACTCAAACCATCATAGACATTTATAAGAAGCAGTTGAACACTGAATGATGTGCTCGATGTAAAACACTTCTTCTCCATTCATCATAATGACTTAGGCCGTTTTGTTCAGTGTTACACTTACTACAGACATTACATACATAAGTGTGTTGTACAATATTTGAGAATATTGTTTTTTATACACAGAACACACAAATACACGGTAACAAATATATTTTATTTTCCCACAAAATCAATGGGAGATAGATCCCACATTTCATACACCCCAACCAACACACAGTTGCACACACAGTGGTCTACATACAAAACTACAGGATTTCTTATGCTGTTACAGTAAAAAAAGAAATATATAAATATCTGTGCTGCATCCTCTCTTTGGTTTTGGTATTTTCTGCTAAAGCTCTGATCGCTGATTGTAAAACTGTGTGAAATGTGTTTGTCCGTGTGACGAGTCAGTGTGAATATCTGTATGTCAGTGTGTTCCTCATGAAAACAAGAGATTTTCTGCATGACAATTGTGCTAAAAGCAGAGAATTGTGTGTAGTGTTTTGAAAAACGTGTGTTTTAGAGTGTAAAGCAGGAATTGTGCTTGTAGTTCAGCAGAACTGGTTCAGGGAGTTGGTGAATGAGTTTCATGTTGTGCTTATTGTGTCTCAAGCACCAGAAAATGTGTGTAAACAATCGAGAAAAACTATAGATCCAGAATCTGTACAGATACGACATTCATAATGACACAAGCGTTTATGGATTATAGATTGATCACATTATGATGTTATTTGTGTTTATTTGTGTGATAGGATCATAATTCAGAAAACACTCACAGCCCATCTGTTGACCACATAATCTGTCCCAGTGAAATCTCGTCACTGTAGTCAACACTGGCAACAGTGCAACAATGAGGAATCCTGCACACAGAAGACAATATCACACAATTACATGTGCTGTTAAATGTGCTGTTAAATGTGTTGTTATTATGTTTATTGATTATGTTATTAAATGTGTTATTTAATTATTGCTAAATAAATAAGTGTTGCTGTTGTCAGCGGGTGGAAGATTAGTGCAGTTACTCAGTTTGGACACTAGGCGGCGGTGAGAGTCTGCCTTTGAGTGAGTCATGAAACTGTTCCCAGATCAGAGCTGACGCCATTACAATATCCCTACATGTTTAATGGATCACACACACAATCGGTTATGATTTAACCACAGCTGTAGTGTGAGCCGGGCATACAAGTGTGTGTTATCAGCGACTTCTGTTCATGTGTGTGTGTGCTTTCAACATGGAGGAAGAGTGTGTGTGTGTGTGTGTGTGAGTGTGTGTGTGTGCGTATGTGTTCAACTTGGAGGAAGAGAGTGTGTGTGTGTGTGTGTGTGTGTGTGTGTGTGTGTGTGTGTAAAACATGGAGGAAGAATGTGTGTTCGTCTGTCACAATATGACGGAAGTTATTTTTATTAATTATTATTAGGGCTGTGCAAAAATTAATTGCGATTAATCGCATCCAAAATAAAAGTCTGTGTTTAAATAGTATATTTGTGTGTGCTGTATATAATTATTTTGTATATATAAATACACACACATGCATGTATATATTTAAGAAAATGTGTTATTCATATATAAAAAAATTATATTTATACAATTTAGATTTTGTATTTATATTTATATACAGAATTTAAGCGCAAATAATTCTTACATATAACATGCATGCATAGGTATTTATATATACAAAATAATTATATACAGCACACACAAATATATTATGTAAACACAGACTTTTATTTTGGATGCAATTAATCGCAATTAATTTTTGCACAGCCCTAATTATTATTTTTAATATTTTCAGTGATTGCTTTGAATCATTATAAACTTTCATATTGTTTTACAATCACTTGTAATTTATAATTTACAATAAATGTCAGTCTGTAATGAAATCTGTTGTTAATCACGTCAATTAATAATCAATCATGTTTATAGAGTTTACATGAATAGAGTTTATTAATAGAGTTAATAGAGTTTATTAATAGAGTTTTTGGTTTATGGAGTTGAGCATGAATAGAGTGTATAGAGTGGAGCATGAATAGAGTTTATAGAGTTTATTAATAGAGTTTATAGAGTTGAAATGAATAGAGTTAATAGAGTTGAGCATGAATAGAGTTTTTAGAGTTTATTAATAGAGTTAATAGAGTTGACATGAATAGAGTTTATAAAGTTGACATGAATAGAGTTAATAGAGTTGACATGAATAGAGTTAATAGAGTTGACATGAATAGTTTATAAAGTTGACATGAATAGAGTTAATAGAGTTGACATGAATAGAGTTTATAAAGTTGACATGAATAGAGTTTATAAAGTTGACATGAATAGAGTTAATAGAGTTGACATGAATAGAGTTTATAAAGTTGACATGAATAGAGTTTATAAAGTTGACATGAATAGAGTTAATAGAGTCTAGCATGAATAGAGTTTAGAGTTTATTAATAGAGTTAATAGAGTTGACATGAATAGAGTTTATAAAGTTGACATGAATAGAGTTAATAGAGTTTACATGAATAGAGTTTATAGAGTTGACATGAATAGAGTTTATAAAGTTGACATTAATAGAGTTGACATGAATAAAGTTTATAAAGTTGACATGAATAGAGTTTATAAAGTTGACATGAATAGAGTTAATAGAGTTGACATGAATAGAGTTTATAGAGTTGAGCATGAATAGAGTTTATAAAGTTGACATGAATAGAGTTAATAGAGTTGACATGAATAGAGTTTATAGAGTTGAGCATGAATAGAGTTAATAGAGTTTACATGAATAGAGTTTATAGAGTTGACATGAATAGAGTTTATAAAGTTGACATTAATAGAGTTGACATGAATAGAGTTTATAAAGTTGACATGAATAGAGTTTATAAAGTTGACATTAATAGAGTTGACATGAATAGAGTTAATAGAGTTGACATGAATAGAGTTTATAGAGTTGAGCATGAATAGAGTTTATAAAGTTGACATGAATAGAGTTAATAGAGTTGACATGAATAGAGTTTATAGAGTTGACATGAATAGAGTTTATAAAGTTGACATGAATAGAGTTTATAGAGTTGAGCATGAATAGAGTTTATAAAGTTGACATGAATAGAGTTAATAGTTTATAGAGTTGACATGAATAGAGTTTATAAAGTTGACATTAATAGAGTTGACATGAATAGAGTTTATAAAGTTGACATGAATAGAGTTTATAAAGTTGACATGAATAGAGTTAATAGAGTTGACATGAATAGAGTTTATAAAGTTGACATGAATAGAGTTAATAGAGTTGACATGAATAGAGTTAATAGAGTTGACATGAATAGAGTTTATAAAGTTGACATGAATAGAGTTAATAGAGTTGACATGAATAGAGTTTATAGAGTTGAGCATGAATAGAGTTTATAAAGTTGACATGAATAGAGTTAATAGAGTTTATAGAGTGTATAGAGTTGAGCATGAGTGTAATCTGACCTGTTCTCGACCCGAAGCTGAAGAACAGGAGGATGAACTGCAGTGGAGGAAGAACATCAAAGCTTACACGAGCCAGAACGTTGAATATAGTCTTGATGCGCTCGCTCAGCGTCACAGTTAATAAAGCCACCGCTGTGAAAGATAAACTACAGTTCATAACTCATACAACTGATGCAGAATTAATGCACTCTTCACACATTTATTATTGCCAACATGTTTCATAATGTCTTCATAATGCTTTGAATGTGTGTATTATTGTGTGTGTGTTTGATACAGTGAAATGAGTTATTCATGTGTGTTTAAGAGTTTTCCAGTGTGATATTCATAAGTTTATAGTTTTGAAGAGGGAAATGATGAATGATTGTGAAGATTGTGAGTTAGTGAAGTGAGTTTACTCCTGTATTTATGGGTTATGATGGTTTATGCTTTTGTTGAGATATTGCAGATATCCTCATTTTAAGGCAGAATGAAACAATATTATTAGTTATTATAATGTTGAATTGAGTTGTGATTATTAATTTCATCAGTATTTTATCAGTATTTGATTCCATAAAAAATAAATATATGAATGATCAATAATAATCTAATCTGAGAGAAGTGGATCATGTGTTTTTATTGATATCAAATGTAAACTGAATAATTGCTTTATATGAATATGACAATAATAAACAACAACAAGCATCATAATCACCTTCATAACCAGAACATTGTGTAATGTGTGTGTGTGTGTAGTGAAATATGAAGATAAAGTGTGTGTGTTTCTCTATATGAACACCTGAACTGATGATGTCTATATTTCAGATCTGACACTATATATAATAATACAGGATTGAATTATATGATTTATTTCCATGATTTGTCATGGTCTGGAAGCAGGGACGTGTGCTCAGGGTAGACACACACCAAAGGAAATGTTAACATTACATTTATTAACTCCAAGAGCTTTGATAATTCACCATATTATTAATTGCATTTATTTTATTCCAAATATACATTTTTGAAACAAATAAATTCAGGAATACTAATTTAATAGTAATTTTGCCATAGTTTTAGAAATTCAAGGCCATGGCCATAGACCTTTCTCACAACTTCCGTATTTGTGACCGGAAATACGCAATTGTCGTGGTAATCTTCTTCCGCTCCATTCATAACAGATAGCGCCGAAGGCAACTAGTGAGAGTTGTTTCGTACCGATCTTTTTTGTTATTCCCAAAAGCAGCCATACCTGTCGTTTTCATTCCTTCCCTCGTCAGTTCCCTGTCGATGAAGTTCGAAGGAAATGGATTCAGGCAATCTGGCGGGATGTTATTGATCCTGTGGTCTTCTGTACTTCTCTCATGTCACCATTCACTAAGCCGTCATTGTTTATGTTTATTTTTTATGTTTTATGATTTGTGTATTTTGAAGTAACGTTAGTTCAAGCTCAACTTTATTAAGATATTTGTATCCAGCGGAATAAGCACATAAAAATATACACCACAATATAAAACAAGATAAATAAGAACACACAACAGTGGGCTACATATAAATTTAAAATATTAATATATCCCATTCTGAGTATTTAACAATCTGAGTGTACAAGGGATAAATTAATATTTGTATAAATTGTTCTTCATCTTTGATCGTTCTATAGCAAGAGCAGTGCAAAAAATTGAGGATAACTGTTGAATAAAACTGACAGACTTCTTTCTGGTATTCACATCAAAATGTAGTTTATTGTAAATCATACTCCCTAAATATTAATAACTTTCCACACACTCCACCTTCTTACCTTTAATTAACGTATATCGGGAAGAATGAGCTTCAGTTCTGAAATCAAAAGTCATATCTTTGGTCTTAGATACATCAGCTGCAGACAAGCATCACCACAGCATTTTACAGTCATCAACAACTGGACCATGACAAGTTTACATTTTTTCGAAGTTTTGAAGACTCTCTGATCAATTTTCTCCTCCCAGAGTAGGTTTTACTAATGTGTTGACAGTTGACGGGAACTCCGTTTCCACAACGATTACGTATTTCCGGTTTTTGTGAAAAAGGTCTATTGAGGCAGAGTTTCGCAGTGCACTGCTGCTTGAAAACAAAGATGGCGGCTGGCGAACTGCTGGCTTTCGATGAACTTATCTAGACGTTGGTCTGGCATGAACACTCGCTCTCACTCGATCCGCGATTCTGACTTTGCTCTGCAGGCAGCGATGTGATGACGCCTGATACGAACTTGGGTTGCTACATTAACTCAATTAATATACAGTGGCTTATCTTTGTTTTGCCAGTGGGTGGGACAGGTGTGTGTGTGTGTGTGTGTCAGAGAATCAGAGAATCAGTGAATCAGAAAATCAGAGACTCAGTGAATCAGAGACTCAGTGAATCAATGAATCAGAGAATCAGCGATTCATAGAATCAGTGAATCAGAGACTCAGTGAATCAATGAATCAGAGAATCAGTGATTCATAGAATCAGAGAATCAATGAATCAGAGAATCAGTGAATCAGAGAATCGGTGACTCAGTGAACCAGAGACTCAGTGAATCAGAGAATCAGAAACTCAGTGAATCAGAGACTCAATGAATCAGATAATCAGTGATTCATAGAATCAGAGAATCAGTGAATCAATGAATCAGAGAATCAGTGAATAAATTAATGAGGTAATCAGTGAATCAGAGAATCAGTGAATCAATGAATCAGAGAATCAGAGAATCAGTGAATAAATTAATGAGGTAATCAGCGAATCAGAGAATCAATGAATCAGAGAATCAGTGAATCAGTGGATCAATGTCTAAAGAGATCGAACGCCTCAGAAAACCCTTCAATAAGAGAGTGTGTGCAGAAGATAATAATGATGAAAGTGCTAAGAGTGTGTAACGCGCTGCATCAGGAAGAAGGAGATGGATAACTCACGACTGAAGATATTACGTGCGGAGGCCAGACAGATTCACGGAGTCGATATGCATCTCAAAACTCGTGCTTTATTCCACATCGAACTCGTGCATATAACTATCTGTTGCACGTCCTCCCATCCACATCGTTACTTAACAAGCAAAGTAAAAATAATATAAAAGTCGGCATCAAACAGAAATTACACACATGGGGTGTTCGAGGCACACGGCATATATCACATAGAATACCAAGAATCACAGATTCTTAAAGGGGTCACACCATATTTCTTCTCGTTACAAGTGTGTGTGAGGGAGAGCGATAACACACACCAGAAACACACACAAGTCTGCATAATGACACATGTGTATATTAATATGTATATGTTAATATACAGTGTGCTAATATGAATAATTGAGTATGCGGTGTATAGATGGAGAATTTGTCCTGTTTTAAATCACTCGATGATCTGAGACTGAATAAACTGAAGACTTTACGAGCTGATTCACTCCATCAGTTCAGTTTACATCCTTTAATCACCGGGACTTTCTCTTTTACTCATTTCATACATTACAAATGTACACTTTGATTTATTTTACTTTCTGTTTTTCTTCTATTCTTTCATCAGTTTCTCGTGTAAAACTCTGATATGTGTAATGATATGGAATGAGCTGATAAATCAGGTGTGATGATGATTTGTGTATTCTGTAACCCTGACTCCAGTAATCTGGTAAATATGATTGACAGCTCATATTGTGACTGACTCTTGATGGAAGAAACACTTACAGTAGATAATAAAGAGGAGGTTTAGCAGGAGCGCGATCACAAACAGGACTGTAATCATGACTCCTTCAAATCCAGCGTAGTTCAGACTTTTGTCATACGCAGATTTAAACAACACTGGAATAAAGGAAGAGAAACAACAATTACTGAAATAGAAAAGTAAAATATAAATACATATTATAAAAACACTTCTCATTGAACAGATGCTTTTATACACAACATTACAACACATTCTCTGTCTGATCGTGACCCTTGACCTTTGATGATGACCCCTTACCCCTGACATGACCCCTTTGATGACCCCTGACCCTGACACATGCTGAGATGTCAATCAGAAGTAACTTTATCTTCAGTGTCAGTCTCTACATGATGTCTACTGTGATAATTCATGCAATATTTCCATAATTAAGCGGCGGTGTAGTGTAGAATATCTTACAGTAACACAACACACTTCACAGTATTCATGTCATGGGTTTAAGATTTCCGGCAGGATATTGAGAATATTACATCATTTACATGTAATTATTGTTCAACTGTTAATGTGTTTTTTCACTTCCTGCTCAGCTACTGTTCGGACGCTCCTGCTTACTGCTCCGCGCTTTGCTCTATCGCTTTAATATTTTTTATATATTTTATCTCCTTTTCACCTAATTTTAACTTCAGCAAATCAGCACAGTGCTCAGACGCTGGGATTACTTAAAAAGTACTTCACACTTTTACTTCACACTTCAGGCACAACAGAGCTCCGTCATGGACGCCCTCAGCGCACAGCCGGTGAGTCCCATGAATCTAGTGCTCCTCGACAAGCTATACTGACTGTAGAGAAACAAGCCGATCGACTTACAAATCGATGGCACAAACAGGGAGCGAGACCCAAAGGCACTCGAGACATCAGATTATCACGAGCACCACATATTTCAGCAGTAGCATCATCTACCCCAGATATGACTCTGACCAGGATTGCAACCACTGGTCTCCTACCACCGCCTATTCATCTTGAGAACAGATTCGAAGTATTAATGAATGAAGAATCCCTGAATTTGACGAATGTGATCGAACACAGACTGAGTCAGCCTGTAGCTAACGCTGATGCTAACCGGCGCTCAAGGTCGAGCAGACAGCGGCACTCAGCTCAGAGCACAGCGGGGCCCAGGACTCTGATAGTGGGCGACTCCATAATCAGAAACATTAGTATCAGGGATACAACTACATGCTGCCTTCCACAAGAAACAACTTCTGATGTAAACAGGGAACTTCAGAACATTCTGGTGAAACATAAAACTACAAATCGACTCATCATTCATGTGGGGAAAAATGATATTCTTAAAGAGCAGTCAGAACTCCTTAAGAAGGATTTCAATGAACTTTTTGAAGCACTTAAAAGACTGAAAGTTGAAACATTCATCAGTGGACCTTCCCAGCAAGAGGAACAAACAGGTTTTCACGGTTGCTTGGGCTCAACACATGGCTGCAAAAAACCTGCAATATAAAAGGAGGGAACTTTATTGACAACTTCAATCTTTTCTGGAGTCAGAGGCAACTGTTTCAACGGGATGGCCACCACCCAAACAAACTTGGTTCAAGAGTCCTAAAGGACTATATCTTCTTCTCCCTCCATCATCCTTCTGCAGTGTGTGCCAATCCACTCAACCTGAATGGCAAACACACACACCTGGACACAGTATGAACGACCACAGGACTTCACTTCAACACCTGAATGGACATATTGCTGACACATCACACAAGGACAATGATAACACCACTCAGCCACAACAACCTCTGCTCACGGACACAATCTCAGCAGAGCCCTGCCCACAGAGCTCACCACAGACAGACTGTGACATATCAGAACTGCTCCCAGATTCAGCACCCAAGGACGACTTTCTGGAAAACAACGAGGGAAACCAGGACAGCATTTTACACCCTCCAATAACACCAGAGCAACAGCCCATCTCACCTGACACGTTATCACTCTCTCCAGCATCTCCACTTCTGTGGGTCTCAGAGAAAATGGAAAAACGGGTGTCTGCTGGAACTAAACTATCACACTCTTTTGCTGCAAGCCCCCCAGCAGGCCCCACAACCACCAAAGCCTGCGGGCACAGCTCGCCCTCCTCCTCCTCCCCCTGATAGAGCTCTTCGGCCTCTGCCACGGCGCCAGGGCTCACACCCTCCTCCATCTGCTCGAGGTGAACCAAAAACAACTGATACCAACTCTAAATGATACGAGTCGGGTATCCGCTTTGATAACAGTAACTTTCTTAAATGTTTACAAAACAAGCGGGAACCCAGTGTGCCTGAATCCTTCTCTATAGCGGTTCAAATACATGATAGAAAATCTAAGGCCTTCAAAAGTCGCACTGCAAACCCATCTAATCTGGTGCCCATTACACGCCAAACTAAGACTGCTGTGAGGACAAAAAGTCAGACTATAAAGTTAGCACTTTTAAACATCCGCTCCATTAAAAATAAATCACTTCTAGTCAATGACTTAATAACCACACACAACCTGGACTTCATGTTTCTAACTGAAACTTGGCTAGAAGACAGCTGCAGTGCAACGGTCCTAAACGAAACATCCCCTCCTAACTTTACTTATATGAGTGTCTGCAGAGCGGGTAAGAGAGGTGGCGGCTTAGCTGCTCTTTTTAAAGATGTTTATCAATGTAAGCAAATATCATTTGGGAATTACCCCTCTTTCGAATATCTGGGTACTGTGTTAAAAGGTGCTCCACGTATTTTACTCATCATTGTTTACAGGCCTCCAAAATACTCTCCAGCCTTTGCTGAGGATTTTACTGAATTGCTATCAACAATTGCCTCTGAGTTTGACTGTTTTGCCATCGCTGGAGATTTTAACATTCACATAGATAACGCAGAAAACAATATGGCAAAAGAAATTAAAACTGTTTTAAAAACTTTTGATCTGACACAGCATGTACACGGTCCCACACACAATCGTGGACACACTCTAGATTTACTTATCAGTACGGGTTTAAACATCTCATCGATTGTTATTAAGGATGTAGCACTGTCTGACCATTTCTGTATTTTATTTGATATATTAATCTCTCCTGCCATTGAAGCTAGATCTGTGTCTGTCAAGGAGAGATGCTTAAATGAGAACACCGGTGTGCTATTTATGAAGGCTATAGCTTTAAAACCAAGCATATCTGCTGACTCTGTTGATTTTCTCCTTGATTCTTTTAACTCAAAAGTTAAGAGTGTAATTGATGATATTGCTCCTGTAAAAGTCAGGAAGAATAGTGGCAGACAAAAAGCACCTTGGAGAAACTCAACAGCAGTGCAAAATATGAAAAGACAATGCAGAAGAGCAGAACGCATGTGGCGGAAGACAAAACTTGTAGTCCATTATAACATCTACAAAGACAGCATCCACACTTTCAATAGGGAACTAGGCAAAGCTAGACGGACTTTCTTCTCAAATATTATAAACAGCAATATAAACAACACACGCACTCTTTTTGCTACTGTAGAGAGACTGACAAACCCCCCGAGCCAGACTCCCATAGAAATGCTCTCAGAAAGGAAATGCAATGAGTTTGCTTCTTTCTTCTCTGAGAAAATCAATAACATCAGAAAAGTGATCAGCACATCCTTGAGTTGCTCTGGGGTCAGGCAGATCAGACCACAACCTGAGAAAGTAGTTACTATGTCTGATTTCGAAGAAATTGATGACACAATTTTGTTAGAAACCGTACAGCACCTTAAAACATCAAACTGCGCCCTTGACACACTTCCCACATCTTTTTTCAAAAGTGTTTTAAACTGTTTAGAAGCAGATCTCCTAGAAGTGGTAAATGCCTCACTTCACTCTGGGAATTTTCCGAACTCCCTGAAAACTGCAGTTGTCAAGCCCCTCCTGAAAAAGAGCAATCTGGATAAGACCATCTTGAGCAATTATAGACCGATCTCAAATCTTCCTTTCATAGGCAAGATCATTGAAAAGGTTGTCTTCAATCAGCTGAACAAATTCTTAAGCTCAAATGGATATTTTGACAATTTTCAATCTGGTTTCCGATCGCATCACAGCACGGAGACAGCTCTCATAAAGATAATAAACGATATTCGCTTAAATACTGATACAGGCAAATTATCCGTGTTGGTACTACTCGACCTCAGTGCTGCATTTGATACTGTCGATCACGACATACTTCTTGACAGGCTGGAAAACTGGGTGGGGCTTTCTGGGATAGTCCTAAAATGGTTCAGGTCATACTTAGAAGGGAGAGGTTATTTTGTGAGTATGGGAGAACATAAGTCTGAGTGGACATCCATGAACTGCGGAGTCCCTCAGGGCTCGATTCTTGCGCCACTCCTATTCAACCTGTATATGCTCCCAATGAGCCAAATAATGAAAAAGAACAAAATCGCTTACCACAGCTATGCAGACGACACACAGCTCTACTTAGCCCTATCGCCTAACGACTACAGCCCCATTAACTCCCTGTGCCAATGCATTGATGAAGTCAACAGTTGGATGTGTCAAAACTTTCTTCAGTTAAACAAAGACAAAACTGAAGTTATTGCGTTTGGAAACAAAGATGAAGTTCTCAAAGTGAATGCATACCTTGACGCTAGGGGTCTAACAACTAAAAATCAAGTCAGGAATCTTGGTGTGTCTCTAGAATCAGACCTTAGTTTCAGTAGTCATGTCAAAGCAATAACTAAATCAGCATACTATCATCTGAAAAATAGTTCAAGAATTAGATGCTTTGTTTCCAGTCAAGACTTAGAGAAACTTGTGCATGCTTTCATCACCAGCAGGGTGGATTACTGTAATGGCCTCCTCACTGGCCTTCCTAAAAAGACCATAAGACAGTTGCAGCTCATACAGAACGCTGCTGCCACGATTCTGAGCAGGACCAGAAAATATGAACACATCACACCAGTCCTCAGGTCTTTACACTGGCTCCCAGTTAAATTTAGGATTGATTTTAAAGTATTATTACTGGTATATAAATCATTTAATGGGTTAGGACCTCAATATATTGCAGATATGCTCACTGAATATAAACCCAACATATCACTCAGATCACTCAGATCACATCAGCTAGAAATACCAAGGGTTCACTCTAAGCATGGAGAGTCTGCTTTTAGCTATTATGCCAGCCGCAGCAGGAACCAGCTTCCAGAAGAGATCAGGTGTGCTCCTACAGTATTCACATTCAAATCAAGACTCAAAACACATCTATTTAGCTGTGCATTTACTGAATGAGCACTGTGCCACTGTTCGTCCGACTGTTACTGCACTTCATTTTATTCTAAATGGTTTTAATTTACTGTATTTTATTTTTATCATAATTTTTATTTTTCATTATTTCTTATTTTTTTTTATTCTAAACTGTTTTATTTATTCTGATTTCTTTTTTTGGTTATTTTAATTTCTTCTATGTAAAGCACTTTGGATTGCCATTGTGTATGAAATGTGCTATATAAATAAACTTGCCTTGCCTTGTTTATGATAATGACTGTGGATGTGCATTTGTATTTATTTACCTGAGTAAAACACAGCTGAGAAAACTGTATATTCTGTATAATAACTGAAAATCCGAATCCATGTTTTAATGTTGGCTGTAAAACAGAACAGATTAAATAATCACATCCACAATATCATTTACAACAACAACACCACAACGAAACACAAGTTTAACATTGAATTTAATGTAAAATTACTGTCAGTTTATGTGAAATCAATGTGTATCATAATTGATATACTGTATGAATCTATAAATATAATAAATCAGCCACACCTGTGAAGTGATGGAAATACGGAGCCGTCCAGAGCAACACGAGCGGCCTCAGGAGATACAGAGCAGAACAACAGACCGACTCAAACACTGATCCTGAAACACACACACACACCACACACACACACACACACACACACACACACACACACACACACACACACACACACACACACACACACACACATTACTAACAACAGACCGACTCAAACACAGATCCTGAAACACACACATACACACACACACACACACACACACACACACACATTACTAACAACAGACCGACTCAAACACAGATCCTGAAACACACACACACACACACACACACACTCATTACTAACAACAGACCGACTCAAACACTGATCCTGAAACACACACACACACACACACACACACACTACTAACAACAGACCGACTCAAACACTGATCCTGAAACACACACACACACACACAGATATGAGTTATTGATTATTAAGTCTCAGTCCTGAATCACTGACCTTCAGATAACCCCCAGAGGACGAACGCGAGACACATCAGAATATTTGGACAGAAGACGAGGAACATCTGAAGACGAAAGACTGAGTCTGAGAGAAACACACAATAACACGTTCACTTACAGTTTTTCTCAATTACTGAAACCATCACTCACTTTCTCAAAACCTGACACACAAAACCACACTTTCACACACATCCACAGAAACGCTGACTCAATCGCTGTCGCAAAATCAATTATATACTGGCAAATTATATATCATATATATATATATATATATATATATATATATATATATCAATTATATACTGGCAAAATCAAACTATTGCCTCAAGACCACTTTACCTGTGCTCAAAGATCACACACACACACACACACACACAACACACACACACACACACACACCACACACACACACACACACACCCACACACACACACACACACGAGTCAAAATATGAACACTACAGATCATGCATTAGACACATCAAAAAACGGAAACAGACTTCAGAGCATGTTACAGATAAAAGTATAATGCCAATACAGTGATAAGGTGAATAAAAAATAATTACTGTATCCACAAGTCTGGTATTATACTGAATATTGAACAGTTCGTGATGGTCGTGTGTGTCTGTGTTTGTAGAGTGAGAATGTCAGAGTGCATGAGATCTGCAAACAGTGTTTTAATCACCTGAACTTGTCTAATGTTTTACAGAAAGAGTGATGTATTTGATAAATTGGTTCAGGCTATTGAGAATTTGGATCAGAAAATGAGGTTTAGTGTTTTAGCAATTCAGGAAAACTGTAAACAGATTTAATAAAGATGATTATCAGTCATTCAGTTTTAAGACACACATTTCTGTTCTTTCAGTTATTACATTTATAACTGAATGAAACTGAGTGGCAAACACAAACGCAATATATTATAAATAACTGAACACTGATTGAGGACAGAAGAGTGGCTGTTTTCTGTTGACTTACCCAGTAGTTTCAGAAACACTTTAATCTCGGTTGTAAATGTCCTGTCACTGTGAACTGTACATGTGTATCGTCCTTCATCTTCAGCTCTCAGATGGTCCAGCCGGAGGGAGAAGTTTCTGTGTTTAATCTCCTCAGTGAAGAAATGAGCTCTGTCCTGATAATCCTGCGACTGTGCCTCTGGTCGACTCTCTCCATCTTCATACAGATGAACAGGATCATCTAAGTCTGTTTTTCTCCACTCCACCTCCAGTATCTTCATTCCAGCGAGTCTTTCATCATAACGGGGCAGAACCACTGAAGATCCCAGAGGAACAGGTGTGTGACGACAGGGCTCCACCGTGAATCCTGAAAATGAAAAAAAAAAAAAGAAGTAAAATGGCAAGGCAAAAACAACAACAAATTCAAATTTAATTTATAATTAAAGGTTTAGTTCACTTTTAAAAAAACTTTTGCTGATAATTTACTCACCCGCATGTCATCCAAGATGTCCATGTCTTTCTTTCTTCAGTCGAAAAGATATTAAAGGGTTAGTTCACCCAAAAATGAAAATGAAGTCATTAATTACTCACCCCCATGCTGTACCAACCCCGTAAGACCTTCGTTCGTCTTCGGAACACAAATGAAGATATTTTTGATTAAATTTGAGATCTGTATAACTACCACATTGGCTCCTAAGGGACTGCCTCTTGACGGCCCAGAAAGTCAATGAAGAAAATGTTTAAATATCCCAAGTGACTACCGTGGCTCAACTATATGTTTATCAAGCGACGCGAATACTTTTTGTGCGAAAAAACAAACAAAAATAACGAGTTTATTCGACTATTTCTTTTCTTCCTTGTAGGCCAGAAACGAGACTTCCTTAGATTTCCACGACGCATGCGCGAGAATTGCGATCTCCTTCAACTACTTCAGTTCAATTCTCGCGCATGCGTCGTGGAAATCTAAGGAAGTCTCGTTTCTGGCCTACAAGGAAGAAAAGAAATAGTCGAATAAAGTCGGTATTTGTGTTTGTTTTTTCGCACAAAAAGTATTCGCGTCGCTTGATAAACTTATAGTTGAGCCACGGTAGTCACTTGGGATATTTAAACATTTTCTTCATTGACTTTCTGGGCCGTCAAGAGGCAGTCCCTTATGCAGCCAATGTGGTAGTTATACAGCTCTCAAATTTAATCAAAAATATCTTCATTTGTGTTCCGAAGACGAACGAAGGTCTTACGGGGTTGGTACAGCATGGGGGTGAGTAATTAATGACTTCATTTTCATTTTTGGGTGAACTAACCCTTTAAGGTTTTTGATGAAAACATTCCAGGATTTTTCTCCATATAATGGACTTCAATGGGGACCAAACGGTTCAAGGTCCAAATGAGAGTCTCAGTGCAAACTGTTCAAAGGGCTTTAAACGACACCAGACGATGAATAAGGGTCTTATCTAGGACCCTTTGAGTCATGACTCAAGAAAAAAGATTTGTTCATTTTGATGAACGAGCTCGAACAAGAGAGTCACGAACGCTCATCACAGAACAGAGCAAGGCGAGCATTTGAGCTTATAAAACTTTAACTTTGTTATTTATTTATTAAATGAGCGATCGTTTCGCTTGATAAGACCCTTATTCATCATCTGGAATCGTTTAAAGCCCTTTGAACAGTTTGCACTGAAACTGTCTTTTGGACCTTGAACCGTTTGGTCCCCATTGAAGTCCATTATATGGAAAAAATCCTGGAATGTTTTCATCAAAAACCTTTAATTTATTTTCGACTGAAGAAAGAAAGACATGGACATCTTGGATGACATGGGGGCGAGTAAATTATCAGCTATTAAAAGTTTTTTTTTTTAAGTGAACTACTCCTTTAATCATATTTGATAAGCCCAGACAGTTATATTTATCATTTAAATGAGTCAAACTAATTTTATTAAAAAATTGGAAATGCTATTTTTATTGTAACTATATATCATAGTCATACACTGATCATGGCTACAACAGCACTTTCTTTTTTTTTCCCACTTACTCTGTACTTTCAACTCTGTTTCGGTTGAACCCATAAACTCCTCGTCCCTGTAAACTGTACATCTGTAAACTCCTTCATCTCCAGCTCTCAGCTTTTCCAGACGGAGGGAGAAGTTTCCATCTTTAATCTCCTTATCTGAGAAATGAGCTCTTTTGTGAAAGTCCTTGTGCTGTTCCTCAGCTCGACTCTTTCCATCTTTATACAGATGAACTAAAGCCTCTGAGTCTGAGTCTATTTCTGAGTCTGAGTCTGTTCCTCTAGTTCTTCTCCATTCCACCCTCAGACTTTTGTGTATCAAGCTTTTGTCAACCTGACAGGGCAAATCCACTGAAGATCCCAGAGGAATGAATTCACCAGACATAAAGAACTCTATAAAGGAATAGAAACATGTGTTAATGCAAAAACTATTAGTACAAAATTCAAAACACACCACACTTGTATAACAGTCCATCATTCACAACATGCTATTAATGTAAAAGTAAAGTAATTTGGTTTAATATCCAAAATACAAAAAATATTATGTTTCCAGTTTTATATTTTTAAGTAGCCTACTGTAGGAGTTATTTCAATAGCAAACAATCCAAGAGATGTTTAAATTGCTCTTAAATGTACTGAATGACAATTTTTCCAGTTTCAAATCAGAAAAAACACTGTCATTGCAGTACACTGCAAAAAGTGAAAACGTGCAATTTTTTCAGAGGGGTGAAATGCATGTTTATTAAGTATTTTGTTGAACATCAGTAAGTTGAACATGTGCAATAATCCAAGATAGTGTACTGATAGATTCATATCATATCCCTGTAGACGACAGATGATAACACACACACACACACACACACACACACACATGTATATGTATATATATATATATATCATCTGAATATGTAATCTTGATCATATAGTTAGGGTATAGCTGATTATACAAATAAAAATCCTGAATATAAAATACTCAGTACTGTATTGTTGATTAACTATTAAGAGTTGAGTTTGATATGTTATTATCCATTTACTTACCCAGAACCAGATTTGTCTTGGCTGAAAACACACACTTGTTCTTGCTGTGAACTGTACATGTGTATTCTCCTTCATCTCCAGCTCTCAGATCGTCCAGACGGAGGGAGAAGTTTCCATGTTTAATGTGTTGAGGAAGTAAATGAGCTCTATCTTTATAATCCTCCTGCTGTTTCTCTGCTCCGTCTTCATACAGATGAACTAACGTCTCGGAGTTTCTTCTCTTTCTTCTCCACTCCACCTTCAGATCTTCAGTCAGTACGTTTGGAGGAACATGACAGGGAATATCCACTGAACCTCCCAGAGAGACATTAATGTTACAAGATTTTTGCACAATCAAACCTGAAAAGTGAAAAAAGTTTCATTTCAAATGTGAGGTAAACTCTTGAATAATAACCTGTTTTAATCACACTATCACACAATTAAATAACACAAATAGAGGTTCAAATCAGATTATTGGAATATTTTCCGAAAGACATGAGCGACATGTGTAAACATTAATGGTTTGTTTAGACTGAAAGTAATTGAATCCCAGAGTCTTTCGGCTGCTGGTACACAGCAAAAATAAATTGACTCTTGTAAAGACTCATGGGCAGATCTGATTATGGGGAATTTGCATTTCATAATTAATAATTAATAATTATTCATACAGGTTTGTATCAGATCAGTCTTACATGTTATTAAATCTCCCGATAAGGGATGATATGTTATTTTACCTGCATGCATGCATGTGTATAATGGTAATTAACCACAAGTTGATTGCAATTAATTGCACAGATCACGTTTTACAAACAGGTAAAAATTAATTAGCTCAATTGCCAGAATAATAATTGTGGGGATTAATTTATGATCTGCTTGTCCCGCCCGCAAGCTTGATCCCTTGATCTCCATCAACACCCACAGTATCATCCTACTTCATAGATTTTCAAGAAAAAACAATCCTGTGGCCACAATAATTAGTTTTCCTGTTCTATAAACAAATACTCTTTAAAGTATATTTAATTTGTAAAGCTCGTAGCTTCTGATCTATGCGTTTAAGGGGCCTGCATGAGCAGAGACACAGCAAGTCAATCAAATGAATACGATGCAGGGA